TACAAATTCATTTCTTCTATTTTCCCTTAGGTATATTTTGTTTCTTTTATAACTTTTTAATGGTAGATATTAAATTCATTCATTTTCATCTTTTTCATTGACATAGGTATTTAGGGCTATGGATTTTCTCCTCGGCACTGCTTTAGTTGTGTTACCAGAGGAAGTTTTCTAAACTTTTCTGAAGATTGAATTGGGAGTACTTGCTAAATACAAATTTCTTGACCCAGTCTCAGACCCTCTGAATTGGAATCTCCAGGGAAAGGGCATAAACAATGGATTTTAACAAGCATCACAAGTGAGTTCTTACAATTCAAGGAGTTTGAGAAACACTGCCATACCATGTGCTATTACAACCGTTTTCATTTGCTATTTTCTAGATAATCTGCAATTCATCTTTGACTAAATAATCACATTTCTAGGGCACAGAATAATTTTTTGAGAATTTCTTTTTCGTCTTTCTCAGAGGCACTTGGAAAGAAGGTATGTTCTGTGTTTGGAGTATCTTATTTGACATGCATCAGTTATGTTTGAAGTCTTCTATGTACTTTTGCCATGGGCGAGAGTGGTAAGAATAAAAACCCTTTTATTTTTGTTATATATATTTTTTCTTCTGCAGATCTTTATGAAGTTGGATGCTTTTTTTGTAAATAGATAACATTCAACTTAGATTTTCATTTGAGATGAGTCCGATGTAAATGTCTCTACTGCTGTTTACTTTCTTTTTGAATTATGTAAATAAGGAGAGTTTAAAATTTTATTGTGATAGGTAATACATTCACATTGTTCAAAAAAAAAAAGTACCAGGTCTCCCCTTCCCCTGTGATGTGTGTGAACATCTTCCCTCCTTGTCCCAGACCTATTTCATGAGGATTGGTAGCACGTTCCCCTGACCACCCTTCACCCATTCTTTTTAGTTTCTTATGCACTGTTCTGAAATTTCCTTATGCATCTATAAGTGAATGAGGATACAGATACATTTTTCTACATGAGCACTCTCCCCTCTATTTTTGTAACATTTTCAGTAACAAATGAGACACGTCTTTATATTTACCTGTATACCATTTATTGCATACAATATTCTTAACAATAACTTTTTCTACTGAAATAGGTGTGTTTACCTGTCGAACCCCAGTATGAGAAACGTGTACAAAAGGAACAGACTGTAACATAAAAAGGTACGTGAAAAAATGAGCAAACCAAAGCATTATAAGTGGATAAAGCACTATAAACTTTCTGTGCTGGCTGACGTAGCTGTAACTTTAATCCGTACTGTGCCAAACAGCCTGTAGCCAAGTTTTAGAGTTACACTGATAGTTGCCACATACTTTCCATCAACGGGCCTTCCCTATGACCTACCAAAAGGGACAAGAGAACTATTAGCTCTGCCACTACTTCCTTGGAATCTTAAGGATTTTTTTCTGTTCTTCCTGCCACTGCCCTACAGAGGCACCTACCTGCTCATAGGCCATGAACATCAAATGTCATTCAACTTTTTTATAAGACTAAAATAATTGTGTGATATTCGTTCTTTTGTCTCATTTAAAATGTGCTAACTTCTGACTAAAAAGTTACTATATAGGAGAATCACAGGGAATATAGAACATGTTTTTTGAAGATGATGTGGAAAATCAGGGTGGGTTACTGGGCATTCGACCTGGAAGAGTTGAATCACTAAATTGAGATTTTAATTGTGTGTTAAATCTTCTATCACTACCCATTACTGAATATTTAACAATTTTACACGCAGCGTTTCTTTTCCTGGTTTTTCTCATGTGAAACAAGCTTGTAATGGCTGGACTCTAAGCCACCATTACTGTCTTCTCTACAAAGGGCAGGGAAATGGCACATTCACGTGCAGGTACGTGGCTTCCGGAAGCATCCTCACTGCACAGAAATGGTTCTTGGCATGGGGCTCACCAATCTTTCTTAGAGCATTACTTGTTTCACTTTCAGTTTTCAAATGGGTTTGCAACAGCGGATGTCTATAGGAACTTCTAGAGCGAGTTGAGAGAATTTTGTAATTATAGAAACGCTGGGCTTCTATGGCCAGCCCCCTTTTTAATCAGAACGAGGCATCAGGCAGGAGGTGACTGTGGGTCGATGTGCCTGGGAGGGGCTGCACCCCTGGAGAGGTTGGGCTCTGGGCATCTCTCCTGGGTGGATCTTGCAGGGGCAGCCACCTGGCAGTAGTCACCACTTTGGCTGACCTGAAGTAGCGACAAAAGTAGAGATTTGACTGTGTCGGTTAGAGAGGCATCAGTATTGGGTTTGGCCTGAGAAAGGGACTATGTCTGGAGACACATGATAGACACAAATAGATGCATGAGCCTCTGGCTTCTTGGGTCCAGAGGTGTCACGAGCCTGCCGCTGAGTTGTGGGAGTACCTGCATCAGCCTCAGGCTGGCTCCCAGCACGGGCGGGAGGAGAAAGGGTGGTGCCTGCAGTGTCGCCTGCCAGCCAGTCATAGCACGTGAAACTCCCAGCTTGAGAGTCACACCTCTAGGTCAGCACTGGGGTTGGGAAACTTCTGGGAGGGTTGGTATGACTTTAATCTGGGTCACTTGTGTCTGGCTGGGGCCATTTTGAAAACAGTGATGAAGGATCTTCAGACCCAGTCTGCCTCAGACTTTCTGATCTCAGAACACCTCAGGGAGCCCTACATAGCACAGTCTTGAAATGAGAAAAACCTCACGAACAAAGACTGCAAGAGGTCGGGGTGCACCGGAAAGACCCAGCAGGGCTGCCCAGGGATCGATTGCGTCGTGCCCTCTTGGTTGTCGGGGGTCTTGTTGGCTCAGAGTGCTCGGTAAACATCAGGGGAGGGGTGGCAGGAGGGTGCTCGGGCATTCCAGTTGGCCCGGCTCCAGGCTCTCTTTAGCACCATGGGAGATCACAGGCTCCTAAGAACATCCTGACGCAGATCAGAGTTTGAGCAGTTTTTCTTTTAGGAGTTGCATTGATGTGTTGTATTGATTTGCCGGGGAACAATGGCTTATAGTTTCAGCCTGAGAATTCCTCATAAAGTTAAGAAGGCATAAAAATGTCCCCTCTGAGACTAGTCAGGAGTATTCATTCTCATGTAGTTTAATTTGTTGCTTGTGTGGTTTCTGTGATGTCACCCCACATGTGTAAACCGGAAAAATTCACACTGGGAAGTGTAACCTCCGTATGCGTATTTGGACAATGGAAAATGTTATGCATTGTTTCTCGTGGTTGCTACACATCTGATT